AATAATCTAAAGCCAAGCGGTTTTGCATAATATATGTTCTGGACAAAACACTTTCTTTAGCCAACTTAGTTAAAGCCTCAACTGTTCTATTGGTTATAATTTCTACTACTGCTTGTAATCGGATAATTCTGTTTAACATATAAATTGGGGTCCTATACCCCCAACTTCCATCTTGGGCCCATGTAGCTGGATCATAATAAGCAATTATTCGTTCGGGTGGCCATTCATCATCTTTCCAATTCCCAATTTTTAACCCTTCTCTCACTTTAGCCACAGATCGCCTTACCAAATTTCCCACATGTTCATAGGCAGGGACACCCAATAATTGTCTTCTTTGTAATGGCAAGAGGAAGAAAGAGGGTTGTATAGCACCCAGAATACAAGACCCAAACCATCCAGCAGGGAGAATATTATATGCAAATGCTCCGCAGATCCAATATAACCCATCAGGAGTGGTCCAGAGGAGGGTATCGTTTTCAGGATCTTTTAGGAAGGCGAGCTCGGGAATTAAAGATAAAGAGTTGTTAGGGACACTTTGATTCGTTTGTGATATCCAAGTATTGTTTTCCCAGGTATTCAAACAGCGCATGAACCCCATAGGTTTAGTTCTCCCACTATGGTTACTCCTTCGAGTAACATATATTGCCCACCAGGTTAATGGACATCCTCCAAGTTTCATTATAGGTGTTCTGGTAAGTGAAATTTCCTTTCCATTTCTCAATTTCAGTATAATTAGCTTCTCTAGCATGCCATGGCCATTCATCTCCCATATTGGTTCCCCCACACACGAAGCAATTTTTCAGCATTAACTTCTGAGCAACCTCTTGGGCTAAAGCGATAAACATATTTTTAGCCTTTGGTGGAACAGGGAGACTATTAAATTTTGCAATCTCTTCCTGATATTCCCAATATACTTTTACTGGCTCTGAAGTTAACTTTGTTGAACTCACTTTTACTATAATATACCCATATGGATCTTTTCCTCTTCCATTTATACCAATACCAAAATAATAAAAATTAGTAGAGGGGGTTTCAGATGCCTTGATTTGTAAGCAAATCCGTGTACACTGTTCTGGCTCACAATCTGTTGATACTGAGGCCATAGACAAGTTGAACCCCTGGGGTCCTTTCCTCCATTCCCAAGGGGTCTTGGTGATATACCAATAAGTGTGACTTGGAGCAAAAGCCACCTGGCCTGTACTCGCAGCGGGCATAGCAACTTGGAATAAATATTTTTCTTCCCTCATATAATCTTTTTCCCACTCAAAGTTACCACACTTCATTCCTTGTCTATTATCATGTCCTTGTCCTATCCTTATAGCTTTACAAGTGTCAAAACACACAGACAGCTTGGTATTTCCTCTTGTGGTATTGTGGGCAACGTATCCTCCCTTAGTTTGGGCTATAGCAAATAACCCTTCTGTTCCAGTAACTCCCCCTTTATATCCATATACATAAATGTTAGCAGTAATTGGACCTACTGCTTTTGGTTCATAGCACTGCATCCCTTGGGCTGTATAACACCTAAAATATTGAGTTTGATTACATACACAAGGTTGCACTTTAGTAGCATTACATTCTGGTTTTAGAGTGTGATATAATAAGGTACTAGTAACTATATTCCCTGGCTTAGTCTTTTTAATACATTCTGTGCACTCTTGGCAGGGTCCGAACTTCGTTGTGGTCTGTTTTATAATAACAGTAGTTCTCATCTTTCTAACAGGAGGGGATAAGGAATGGACAGGCTGATGAGTCTGAACAAGTTCTTCCCATAATACTTCACGCAGCCCTTCCCATTCAGGTTGTAAATACTGACTCCTAGTATTGTTACATAGAAAGTAGAGATAATCAGTGCTTTCCCCTTCTGTGCCACAACCACTGTACCACAAGGCCTTCCCTATCCAATGGCACCTTGGGTCTCCCCTGGTTGCATTTTCACACATCTGGGTAATTCCACTCATCCACTCTCTACTTTGATTTTTACAAGTCCAAGCTGGATCTCTCTGGGTTTGCCTTGGTGTTACTTCCAGAGTCAGATTACATCCATATTGAGTAGTTTTCCAGTATTGGAACTCTCCCTTTTGATGTCACCCACCTTTTCTCCTGACCTACTTGCTGCCAGTTTGGTTGCAACTTAGATTCACACCACCAAATTTTTGGGTTCAAAGATCCAGTTCATGGGGCAGTGTTCACTCTCTTTGTCATTATAACACCGAATTTGTATCCAAGTTTCATTAGGTTCAAAGATTCTAGGCGGCTCAATCCATAATTTCCCCCAATCGCCACTATTGTCATATTCAAAAGGATATAAGTCATTGTCTTTTTAACACCAGTTTCAATGGTTCTTTTTGAAATGCTTTCCATGTTTCCGACTCCTCAAGATTAGCCTTCTTTACTCTGGTATAATGAGTCCAACCCTTTTTCTTTCGTCCAGACTGCTGTTTCAGAGGTCAGCAACACTGGAATGGTCCTTCCCACTTAGGTTGCAGTTTTTCCTCCTTTCACGTTCGGATCAGGATCCACTGTCCCACCTCAAACTTGTGGACAGGAAATTTCAAAGGGGGTGTTTAGATCAGCAAGCCTTGTTTCCTGAGATAAGACAAAGCAGAAAACAGCCCCAGTATCTAATTCTTTATAAACATGTCATTAGTTTTCATATTGTGGAATTTCCTACTTGAGATGATTTAAAATCAACTTGAATGCATTGAAATAGCCTCACCATTAGATGTTATAGAGCATTTTATGTATTTGTCTACATATCATATAACCAACCATATATTAACCATAGAAAAGTATCAATTATCCCTCCCCTAGCCATTTCTTTTATCCGTATTTACAAACACATTGCTTAGTAAAGAGCCAACAAAGGAGCGCTCACCAACTCTGCTTGAGTTTGTTTGCATACAAATCTTTATTTAAAACATAGCTCATTTATAATCCCAACATTTTCTCAACTCCTTCGTTTTAAACAAGGGTTGAATTACCATTCCTTCAGGTCTCCTAGATATTATGTTTTTATCAGTGTGTCCTGCACACAGACATAAAAACATAAAAATAAAACTACAGTATAGGTGTATTCAAGTTCTTCTCATATTTCATTACTATAAGAATGGGTATTAAATTTCACATCCACCCCACCTTCCTCCCAAAGCAGAATTCCAAGCGGAGAAAAAAGTTAAAATGAGCAGCCCCCCCCCTTTTCTTTCTGTCTCTCACTCTTAAAGCAACACAGCCAGCTGAAAACGAAGGGGGAGGAATAGCTTTCTCTCCTTCACATGAATTTGCCATAAATTCTCTCACATTCTCCATGGAACTCTTCTCATGCAAACACTTGCTAAAACAATAAACCTGCAGTTTAAATGGGGGAGAAACTCACTCACACACACACACACACACACACACACAGAGAGAGACAGGATCAGCATATCCATACATTCACTTCCATTCAAACTGCTTGTACAAACACTTTCACATAGGGATATTTCATTTCATACTTTCTCTTGACAAATCAATAACTATTATTATTATTTCAAGGAGCTGTTCAAAAGCCAATGAGCTCCTTTCCCTCCCCTAGTAAAAACTATCCTCTTCTTCCCACACTGAGTAAACTTGCTGTTCTCTCGCGCGTTTAGGGCAATTTTTTTTTTTTTTTTAAAAGTGGCCCTTCATTCCACATCCAAAGCATGTTGTCTCCTTATTCTGGTATCCACCTTGAAATCCTCCAAATCCCCTTCCTCTACTCCCATTAACATACTGGTTCCTTTCATCCCCCCTATATCTTGTCTCAAAGGGACTCTTCTTATCCCCAAACTCTCTTCTAGGAGGTTTTTCCTGCTTCATTACTTGCTGTTCTGTTGCTACCATCATCTGTCACCCAAATTAGCACATAATCTAATTCATTATCTAAACTCTTACATTTCTTTTTCTTCACATAGTTATATAAATTGTGACACTGAAAATAATCTGTGGAGCCATTCCTTGGCCACTCCACATTATCGTCCTCCCACCAAACAAAACAACATAAATTGACCATATCTTCTTTATTCAACCCCAACCTCAAAATCTCCCGGTTATAGGGCGGGGATCCCCATCCAGCCAATATTTTGCCCAAAGGGCCATTCGGGTCGATTTTAAGTTTGGGGTTTTTACGGATCCTTTTAACACACTTTTTCCCCGGATTGGTCGACCCTGTATTGCCCCCCATTTCTTTTATGGGTGCTCAGCCTATCTTGAGTATGTGCGCCTGTGTCCCTCCCAGCAACTCCTTCCAGTTCCACACGTCACCGTCTCCGGATATTCAATAATATCCCCCTCACTCACTCCGTCCTGCAGACCTCCCCGAGGTCCCTCAAAAGGACTTCCACCCGGCCCCGTTGCCAGTTCTCACATCCACACACTCTATCCCGACCGCCCTGGACTCTTGTGTTCTGGTGTTTTCAAACCAGTACTCACCAGGGTCTGCGCGCAGATGTTACCCGGTCTGTCTTCAGGCTGTTCCGCACTTTATTCACCCTTCTCCTAATACTCGTCTTTATTAAAATTTTACGGGTTTTCCAAGAGCTCCGCAGTCCTCTGGGTGGTTCCCCTCCTTTCAAAAGGAAAGGGGTGCACCTAAGGAGGACCCCTCAGAGTCCCAGCGCAGATTGGATCCCGGTCGAGCCCCCAATTTGTTTGTAGAATTCCTTGAAAGAAATTCAGAGACGAGGTTCGGAGTAGCAGAATAAAGTTTCTTTTATTATCAAAGTTGAGTTTAGTAAAAGAAAACGGTTTGCAAAGCGTGGTGAAACTTTAACCATGCACTCACAAGAGTTGCAGGGAAAAGCCACACCTCCTACAGAAGCTAACAGCAGTTATACCCCTCCCTATCTCCTCCTATACCTACGTCAGCTATTCCTGACGTGGCAGGTCACAAACCTATCAGACGACACAATTATCCTACCTTACCTCCTACTTTACCATATATGGGTATTCTTTTGTTTTCTACATGTGGACATTCCATTCCATACCTAGTTCCAGGCACGTACTCAGGTTTTCCCGCACATGCTCAATGAGCCTGTTGCTGAGTAGAAAATTTTAAACTTTTCTAGAACCTTCCCATTCACATCTAAGGTTCGCTCAGATTGCTATGATGAAGGAATAGCAAATAATTATCAGCCTTCCATTTTTCAAAGATATTACTCTATCGGTTTCTATTCCTGGAGAAAAACAGACAGGTCCCCTAACAAATGCAAAAGAGAAACAGTATTTTCCCATGGCTGACTTATTTTCATCAAGGATATTTACCAAGTCTGCCTTGGCATTGCTACTTTAATAGTACAATCCTTTGTTCAAATCTTCTGTTTTCCTTTGTCATTTGCAAATCCCTATCATCATCTTGATTCTCTGCCTAGCATAAATGGAAAATCTGCTTCCATCATTTGGAACCTGTTAGCGTTCAACTGGCCTGCAGAAAATCCTAGATTTAACACTTAAGCACAATGATAAAGAAATTGAAATCTATAAGAACATTTCAGGTTGTCATTCTGCCTCCAGCCAAGTCCCTCTGGATGCAAATGTGAAGCAATTATTCAGAAGCAGGAAAGGAGAAGCTTCCATCCAAAAAAAATCACCTTTCCACTCCACTGCAAGAAGTTACACAGGAGCAAGGCAAAAATTTGAAAAATCAATATCAGGCTCTATGCACAGTGTCATTTTTTTAATTTGAATATACCCACACTGTAATTGCTCTGTTTTGCTTTAAATACCCAATGGCGGTACATTTCACAGTTGCTGATGCCATAGCTTAGTCTTGCGGGATATAACATGAAAACAGCTTGACTGACAAAGGGAAGTTCAATCTGAGTATATATAGCTTACTGCAGCTTTCAGTACCACAAAAGAATCAATAAAGCATGATTGGGAGAGGGAAAAATTGGGGAAGGGGCAAGAATACCAGAAAAAGAAAAATGGATTAGAGAGAAAATCCAGGTGGAGGACAGAAATTTCTCCCCCATCATAATGTAATTATTTATAAGGTCTCCTTGAGATAGAATACAATTGTTTATCATAAAAATATACCAGCAGTATTCAGTTTCAACTGAGAGAAACGATCTTAAAGTGATACTCATTCTTTACTAGTACTTATATGCTATTCAAATTAATTGATTATCTATCACCTTTGAATATTACTATGTAAAGGATAGTTAATCAGTCACTTACTATCTGTATCATGTACACTTAAGGCATACATAAATATTCTGCTGTTATTGTGTGATGCTAGCAAAAAGCATTCTAATCAGCACACATTTGTTGGCTTATAGTATTACCCAGTTTGTAGTATACACCCAGTTTGGGTCCATACTAATTTAATTTTCCTCTACTATTCAGGAATTCATAGGAGGGGAAATGAAGCTATGAATTCTTTTCTTCAAAGTTAGTTAAAACTAATAGTATACTATCTGTACAATAAATTAATCTGATATTAGCAAAAATATCATAATTTCAAGAGAAACTTTCCAGAAATATTTTTTCTCCCTGCCCCTTAATTTTTTTCATTTACATTTTGCATTATATAAATCTATTAAGAATAATATTAAATTTAATATTAGCATTTGGAATAATGGGGACAAGTTGGAATCATACACAATTTAGTGCCTAGGATTTCATATATTTTATCTTTGTTTTCTTTATTTTCCATCTCTTTTTCTGGATGAGTCAGCAAACAAAATGTAGGAATATGCTTGGTCATCTTTTGTGCTTCAGTAAATAAAAACATTATTGAGATACTTACAGTAGACTCAGTTTTGCCTAAGAATCTTTTGCTTTCCTGTCTTCTTTTCTCCACTATCTTCCTTTCCAAGAAACTAATTTCCACATCTCTCCCTTGGCCATTCTAAAATGGAAAAGTGTTTGTTTGTCCACTTATGTGGTTGAGGGCATAAATACTTTATCAAGTACATCCCAGGCAATTATAAACCAGTCCTATAGGGAGAGTGGATATACTTCATGCTAAAAATTCTATCTAAACATTCATTTTTAATTGTTGACAGGCTTATTTTTTCCTACAAGTTCTAATAAAAGAGAATTCACTTTAGAAATTATTTCAAAGGACAAGAGCTTTTAGAGAAATTTTTATCTATGGAACACAGTATTCTTTTACTCATTCAACTGTAAGGTGAGAAGTTTATGAATGTGATTGTCTTATCTCTCATCCTGTGATCACCACTCCAATAGCTTTCAGCCTCCTTGGTTTTTCATGCTCCAGGTAAATCCTAGCTTTAAAAAAAAATCAAAAAGGTACTTTTCCCAGTAGTATTTGGGTGTGGATCTAGGTGTTAAGAGGAAATGCTACTCTTCAAAAATTACTGGAAAATTTCTCCTTTTCTCTGGAGAAATTTGCAGACATTGCCTCTGCCCACACATTGAGTGGAGAATTTTGATTCATTATTTCAGACTGTAATGTTAACAACCCAGCATTAAAATGTGCATGTCAGCTGGATTGTTAACATTACAGTCTGAAATAGTCCATCAAAATTTTCCATCCAATGTGCGGGCAGAGACAATGTCTGCAAATGTCTCCAGAAGAAATTTAATTCTCCAATGATTTTTCTAGTAAAACAGCCGGTCTCCCAAACAGTTTGTGATATGATAACTTGTAATATTTTCGGGTACAATTTTTCTCTGCATTCAGAGTTAAATCCTTATTTTCAGGAAAAGTGGCTCTCCATTAACCTTGTATTGTCACTTTTACTCTTTGTTACACCTTTTTTTCCAGACAGTGCAACAGAGTGACTACAGATGAAATTATCTCAACAATTATTTATGCTACTTTAAAATAAATTTTAAAAAACTATTGTTCAGTGTTAGTTTAAGTACTTTATCTACACAGTATTGCTTAAAACATGCCTCCACCATGCATTTTACTATAATATGGGGGCAAAGCCCACATCTTATTGTAAGTCACCAGCTGCTTTCTAAATGCTAGCCATAAAATGGCATATTGGCAATTGCCACTAGATTCGGAAAGACGTGGTACATGAGTAATACTTATAGAAATGGACCAGAATCTTTTATATAACATGGAAAAATGTCCCTATAGAATCAGAAATTTGATAGCTATTTGGGGCCAACTCTACATGCAGCTAAATATTTCAGCCTTTAATAATAGAGAATGCATTGCAGCTTAGATATTTTTACAAACATAACAGAATATAAACTATTAAATGCAATTTCTTCTTGCGTATAAGGCATAAACAAAGAACTTTACAGTAAAGCAAATGTACATAAATGTTCTTAATTATTGCACACAAAATTCCCAAGATAGAGAATGAAGTACTATCTGTAAATTATGGCAAAATTGCCCATACATAATAATTTTCCTGTTTGGTATGCATGAAATAGACCTAAGTACTATCTATAGCAAACTTAAATAATTTTTGTTTTAATGAGACAAAATAATGTTTCAATGTTTTTCCTGCCTTAAGTAAAAATATTATAATGTATATATAATTTTTTATGGTTGAGGTTATAATTTGTCCTCATCCAATTGGGAGAAACTATTTTCATTTTGCAGAGTTGTAGGGTTTTAAACATGTAAATGGGAGTTTTAAGCTTCTGCAAAGCTGAAAATAACAATGTTACCACCAAAGTACCCCACAATTCATTCCCTTTAAGATATTTGAGTCAAAAAATGTTTGCAGTACATGGATTTATGGATTGTGCTCAGATATAGGTGGGACTGTCTATGGAGATTCTCAGTCATCCAGGTCACCACCATTGGATGGTGATCATCACCATCTAGTCAGAGCTGAAAAAGCTTCTTGGATGAGAAGCGAAACGTCTTCAAAGAAAAACAAGAAAGTCCAGTTGCCTCTTGAAAAAGCATATTTGGGATATAGGTGGGACTATTTTATATGGTATATGAGTGACTGTGATACCTTTTATGTTTTTTTTTCAAGAAAAACCTAAGATTTTAATCTTGTAAACTATATTAAACATATTCTAGTGCTTACAACTACAGTTAACATGTCAAAAAACTATACTGACAACTTTTGCTGACTGCACCCCTGAAATTCAAAGACTACAGGAAAGGACTGTTGGGATTCCCCGGCGATTGTTTTTATACCCAAAAGTTGCACTGTTGTCACTCAGAACATGTCTTCTGTCACAATGGATGAAGAATTCTAAGGACTTTCTCCAGACACATCATTTCTTTTCATTGGGCTGATCTCCACTTCTACCCACCTCAGGATTCTTTCTTTATCTGGACAAGCTATTGCATTTGACATCCCAAAACTTATCTCACTGGAAGTATTATTCTCTGAAAGCCCCTCTGTAACAAGCAGGTTGGAATGTATGCAATCTTCTATCATGCCTTACAAGATCTACATTCCTTTAAAAAAAGACTGTATTCAAAAATGGAAGGGATTGTCGCTTTTAAAAAAATCTTAATTTGATTTAATGGTCATTCTAAGGGATGATTATTGTACACACAACACACACACACACACACACACACACAAAGACAATAGGCTTAAAGATTCACATGCAGAAAATTTTGAAAATCTATTTATATATTACTACTACTATTACTAAAACTCTCATTGTGTTTATCTGTTTGTAACCTCAAATTACCCTAACAGGGCATTGTATCACAACAATTTTTAAATCAGGGTACTTAAAATTCGCTAAATTAAGCAATGTGTGAAAAATCCAGGACTCATTACTTCTGTGAAATTGAAATGTCCACAAGGTTCAGATCAGTATTATTCACAATGTTGTGGCTGTTGCAACTGCTCCATAGTCAAATAATCATGATTTCCAATGCTCATGTTTAGTGACCGTTTGAAATTACAATAGCACTGAAAAACTTATGACATTTTTCACACTTAGAAACATTGCAGCATCCCCATGGTCACAATATTTGGACGCTTGGCAACTGACATGTTTATGATAGTTGTAGTGTCCTGGGGTCATGTGATCACCTTTTGCGACCTTCTTGCAAGGAAAGTCAAAGGGAAAGCCAGATTCACTTAACAACTGTGTTACTAACTTAACTGCACTGATTCACTTAACAACTATAACAAGAAGGGTCATAAAATGGTGCAAAACTCACTTAACTGTCTTGCTTAGCAATGGGAAATTTGGACTCAATTGTGGTTGTAAGTCGAGGGTATCTGTAGTCAGTGCTTTTTTTCTAAAAAAAAAAAAAGGTGCTGGAACTCATACATGTTATACAACCCGCCTTGCCTACCCTACAAGGTACCATTCAAAAAAGGTGCTGGAACTCCATTCTGGGCGTTCTATGACAAAAAAAGCCCTTTCTGTAGTAGCAACTGCTAGGCAGAAATCAAATTAGAATTATGGAAACCCTGAAACTGATTTGCCAAAAGCCTCTCCTATAGAAATTGAGAAAATATATATCATTACCAAACAGGAATTGAAGATACCGCTAGTTAATTTGTTTTTCTTTGAGACTAAGATAAAAATCAAATTGCATATTTGATTTCTCATTTACCCATTACAACAACACCATGACTTTTGGCCAGTGCAATTGTAACCCATCAGACTGAAAAATTAGCTAGTGACCAGACTAAATAAAATCACTGGGCAGTCCAAAATGTTTACCACCTGAAATAGGGAAGCAAATACTCTTATCTTCCTTCCCAGTTCTGCTGCATAAAGCCAATTTAGTTATTTTAGTACCTGAAGAAAAACAAATATCACAAAACGAAGTGTCCATAAACAGCCATCATTCTCACAATAAAAATACAGTAATAATAAACCAAATACCTGTTACTCTTTCAGGAAATCTAAAAATGTGTTGTTGCAACACTCTGCCTAAAGATAGGATAGAATCAAAATGTATGACAACCTCAGAATTGATCTGGGCAAGGAAAAGGACCTTCTTAGTGACCTAAACCATCCACCTAAAACTTCAAAGGGAGAGAAGTCTTAACCTGCAAATTGAGGGGGGGTCTCTTTTGTACCTCCTTTGTTTTGTTTATTTTAATACCTTAGTGAAGAATTTTTATTTTATGGGGTACTGAATTGGCAGGCAACAAAATTCTACTCTTACAGTCTGCCAGCCAGATCCTCATGCCAGATGACAAACTGCCAGCTCAGACATCTGAAACAAATGTTTGAAGAATCTTCTTGAGAGAGCTGCTTCCTTGAGCATGTAGCAAAAGAAATTCCCACACCCCAGCCGTCTCTTTTCAGGTGGAAGAGTTTTTGTTCTTGTGAAAGCAGACATCAGACCACATGGAGAAAAGGAACAAAAAGGTGTTTGCCGCAGGAGGGATTTGGGAGGAGGGAGCAGAAAGAGAAAGCTAAGATCTTAAAATGGAATTTCCAGCTAACAATTGAATCAAAGAGGAAATTTGATTCAAGGCCAGCTTGCTCTCTAGAGAAGAAAGGAAAAGGAAACTAAGTACTGCATTAGACTTCAAAATTTGAAGTGTTATTTGTGTTACTCTTTCTTATTTCTGGTACTGATGCTCTATATTGCTCTGTAAGCTGTGAGTTTTTGTAATTCATGTAACTTGGAACCTCTTCACAGCAAAATTTTAAATTAGGGTTGGACCAACATCATATTGTGTCTGCCCAGAACTTTTTATATATATCCTTTATAGTTTTTCAGAGGTAGATTTTTTTAAGCTGCAATTTATGATTTAATAATAATAATAATAATAGTAGTAGTAGTAGTAAAGTTGGAAGGGACCTTGGAGGTCATCTAGTCCAACCCCCTGCTCAGGCAGGAAACCCTACACCATTTCGGACAAATGGCTGTCCAGTCTCTTCTTAAAAACTTCCAGTGTTGGAGCATTTACTGCTTCTGGAGGCAGGCTGTTCCACTGATTAATTGTTCTCACTGTCAGGAAGTTTCGCCTTAGTTCTAGGTTGCTTCTCTCCTTGATTAGTTTCCACCCGTTGCTTCTTGTCCTGCCTTTACCACTGAATGTTTGTATATAAATACTGAAAGCTGAAAAGGGATTTTTACGTTTTCTCTCTCTCTGTGTTTCTTTAGATAGATATTGAATCTATTTATCTCTGGTGAAATTACTCTATTTCCGAAAAAGAGGAAGATCTGATCTACCTAATCACAGACTTCAGTTCTCAGAATTAAGAGGTGACTATAGAATTTATTTTAGTTACTCTCATTTTTTTCCCATTTAAATTGCCCCAAAATGACTTTGTGCATGGTAACCCTACTTTTCTCATGCTGGAGTTAAGAGGTGGGACACTGGGTGTGTGGGGATAATCTTGCACTGTCTGAGAGTTCAGAAATGGTGGGAATCTAGCAATACCAGTTAAAGAACAGATAAAAATGGAGTCTAAAGAGACAACAGGCAGAGAAGTGTCAATCTCTTCTCCAAAGAACAAAATGCCTATTATTTCAAGGCAGGAAAAAAGTTCTCTCCTTTCTCCTCTAAGTCAGGAAGGAGAAGTGGCTTTCTGACCATCCAGACACAAAACCGGGAAGATGGTATGGGAGGTAAAGATATGCTATATTTCATGCATGCCAACAAAAATAGTTACTAAAGCTGAAAATAAAAAAACACAAAAACACAAAACACAAACAACTGTTGGATTGTTAGCACTTTAAAGGAAACCAGTACTGTAATTTAATTTTATACAGAATTAAAAAATAAAATATTTTTTATTTTAATTTTTTAATCTATTTTCCAAAATTGGATGTTCTAATTCTTAATTCCACAACTGAGATATTTAAATACTAAAACTGTGGAATGAAGAATTGGTATATCCCATTTGGAGACTCAATGAATCCAGTTTTTAAGACTGAAATTAATTCTTCAGAAATTATTTTCTGTTTATTGGACCTCTCAAAGTATGTTTTAAAAGGCACAGACATTATATTTAACAGACATTATATTTAATATTGGCATTGTGAACAATTTGAAAATTATCTCACATGATCGTGTCCAGCGATAGTTTCATTTTGGTTTGAAATCTTTGCACCTATTAGTAAAAAAATGCCAAGAAATATCATAGTTAAGTTTTGAAATGTGATGTTGAACTATATTCCTCCACATTTAATTTGTTATTTCTTGAACAGCTTTAATGGTATCAAGACCAAGGATACAGCAACTTGACCTAATTAGAAAGAAACATTCTCCCGTGATTTTAAGGAATGGATCCAAGATAACAGTTTTCTACCATTTTTTTAAACTTTTCAAACTTTTCCATGAATATATGAAATTATTATATGATTCTTTTTATCTCTATTATTTTTTCTTCTTTTGTCACATTTAGTTTATTTTGATCACTAGAATATGTTTAAGTTTCCTTTCTCCACTGTATAAATAACCTTCTTCTTGTTGGTGGTCATGTGGATTTTTGTCTTTTACTGTTAACAATGAAAAAGGGAAATAGGCCAAAAAAAAAAATGCCATTAAAGCATGGAATGAATTGAAAAACAAATCCAAGTTTTAAACTGCAATGGGAATATGAGGGCACAGCAGTGTCACATTGACAAAGGGCAATCAACTACAGTAGTTCAAATTGTTTTACCCAAATAAAACAATAAAACAAAACAAATAAAGATCCTTCTTTAGTTCTGCTGCATTGTGAGTCTGGGAAGCTTCTGCCAATTTCAGACCAGGTTGCCTGGCAAAGGATACCAAGGAGAATTTATGGATCTAGATCATAGAGCCCATGCCTGGCAGCACCATTAATTTTGAGCTATGGAAGTTTGAATGGAAAGAACTGAATTAAACTGAGCTGAGGAAGTGCTTTTGACTAGAAAAGTCAAAGCCATCCATTTGCAGGAACGACAGATCAAAAGATATAATCAAGTATCTCTTAGAGAACTTACCCCCTGGCTCACTGTTAGAAAGCTTTCTAAAGTAAACCCATTTAAAAAGCACAGAAAATGTGCATGTTCCCCTGTATTTATTCCAAAAAGAACTATGCTTTAAAGAATCAGGCAAGAATCAATGATTATTTACTGCATGGTATAAGCACTAGTCTACAAAGCAACAGCATCACTGTGGTGAGAAACTAGCTATATTGTGTTATGTAATATTTTTCTTCTTCAAGTATCTATAAAGAGCAATGCACTGCAGGAGCAGGTTGGCTCAATGTCTGACAAAAAATATTGCGGGAAAAGAAGGTCTAATTTCTCTTACAAAACAATGCAGAAAATCTATATAAAATGGATATTTTTGTTTCTTTGGAGTATGTCTATTTATTGACCATTGATATGCATTGATATTAAATTATTATTATTAATTTAATTATATATAATATAATATAATAATTATAAATCAATTAATTATGAAATTAATATTGAATACATAGCAAACAGGTGAAGCAAAACTTGTGGTCACTGTGATAGGCATCCAACCTAAATGTTTTCTTATCACTTTATACAACATTTTTATCATCCATTTATATAAAAAGCATGGGTTTTTATATACTAGACCCATTTTCCAAACAAGTTTAAGTGGTACAATGTGAAAACAAGTCAGGTACTCTCACTTGAACAATAGCAAAATGTGTGGTGGTGGTGGTTTGTTCTCCGAGTTTGCTATTTAGCTTCTGAACATTTTGTCACCAAGCTAGGTGACATCCTCAGTGGGACTTTGGTTGAAGCATCTTGTTTCAGTTCTTCACTGCTTTTATTGATCTCATGTGGTCATGTGGTTGCTGAATCGTGTGATGTCTGTTCATGCAATGTGACCTGTTGTGTCACCTGGCATGTGGTGGCATGGCCAATGATTTCTGTTCTGTTCCATCCTACTCGAACTGTGCTGTTCAGTGTCAATGTTCGGTATCAATGTGGGTTGAGATCAGAGATTTGTGGTCATGTCGGTGTTCATGGATTCTTGTTTTCAGTTGTTGTCCTGTTTGCCCAACATAAAATTAAAAATAAATTATTGGCCATGCCACCACACGCCACACACATCGAAGCCTAGTATTCAACCAATGGATCTGTCAACAAACATGTTAATTTGGAGCCAGCCTATGAACCCACAAGGAGCCATATCAATCGAGCAACCAACAATGGCACTGACCACCTCTTCACTTGGTGACCTTCACACACAATGACCAGACAGTCACACGACAGGTCACACGGCATGACCAGCTGGTCACACGACCCACCAACCACATGAGATCAATAAAAGTGGTAAAGAACTGAAACAAGACACTTCAACTGAAGTCCTGCTGAGGATGTCATCTAGCCTGGTGAGAAAATGTTTGGAAGCTAAATAACAAGCTTGTCAACTTCTTCTCTAAGTAGTCATGAAAAATCAAATACACTATGTCCAGCACTTTCTAATATCAAAATCAAATGTTATCAAATGTCCATCACATTATCATGGTCAACTAAATTGGTTATGTCTTTTTTTAAAAAAAAATCTGCTTTTGCATCATGTATTTTTAATAAAATCATGCTTCTGCCTTTCAAGCACAGCCTTCTTTTATGAATGCTTGCAAATCATCTGTATAATAATTTATTTCATTGTTTTGCAGTAACCCAAGTTTTTCTTTTTTCCCTTTTGAAAAATAACATCTTCTCTGGCATCAAGCCTGCTCTCCAAGATTTTTCAAAAAACCCAGAAGGATCTCTAGGGTAACACTAGTATTAGGAACCTATAAGGTTCACAATTTGCATTCTTTTTTTCAACAAGAAAACTATTGTTTCAATAGGCCTGTAGTCATTTATGTCTCTAAGTTGGCTAGAACAGCTAGGCATGTGCTAAGAACGATTAAACAGAAAATAGGTTAGTTTGAACTAAACATGGATTGTACCAGCTTTTTCTCGTGATATTCATGATATGGCTCCAAAGCTTGCCTATATGATTTGTCTAATTAATTTTCTACTTACCATTTCATTATTATGGTCAGTTTGACAGGGGGACAAGAAAATTAGTATTTAATTATATTCTTCAAGAACTGAAAGGCTCATTGTTTCCAAAGTCTTCTCATTTAAAGATAGATATGAAGGCAGTTGCTGAGACTGACAAGCTATGTCCTCGTCTCTGTATCTCATTTTTTTCTTTTTAAATAAAAATAGGTCACTTGTTCACAATTACAGAACCCCACTATAAGCAGACTGAAAACAAACATAAAAGATGCATAACTCCCAGTGCATGGTTACATCTTCCATAGTTCTATGTAAAATTCCATTAATAAGGCATGAGAACTTTGCAATAAAAGCCTTGTCTGAAAATAACCTTGTAGCCCTCAACATAAATTTATTCTGGGTTTTTTTGTAGATCATATCTTTTAGGCCACAAGCCTGTCAGTAGAGACAGTCTTACAACTGATTTCTGCAAGCTACACTACTTGTAGTGTAATAAAGCAGTGTAAAATACTTGAAACAAATTGAACTTTAATTTGTGATTCATAAAGAATATATTATTTGATTAGGTGCTTGGCACTATCCCACAATAATTTGCACAGATAAGATTTTTTTAAAAAAAGTTATACAATAAACTTTAGCTTCTGACAAAATTATTAAAATCTTAGATGGTATATGTTAAGTCCTTCGCGAAATGGCAATGACACGAGAAGCAGTTGTAGTTCTCAGGAACCTCTTTATTTCTGTTCAGCATACTGGTTACAAGACGCCGACAACGCCCAAATCTCCCTGCCCCTTTTATAGGCGATTCCCGGGCCAAACTGCAACATTTGGCGCGCTCGCACCCGTGCATGCGCGCGAGTGCTGGTGACAGCCAGTCTGGTCCCAGGCAGCTTTCACCTGCCCGGGACCGTTGCAATGCCCCGAGCCTGCTTTCACAGGCTCAGGACATAACACCCCTTCCCCCCCGGCTAAGACTATGATCATACAAATAATAATATACAACCCAATATGAGTGTGGAACCCATACTAGCTTTGTACCCGTTATTCCTTTTGCTTCTATTGTTCCCCAGTGTTCTATTTTCCTATGTGTACAGGAATACTCTCTGTTAACTCTGTTTTGCCAGTAGGGTTACAAAATCTTCTAAATACTTAGGAGATCTTTTAGCTCTCTGTGACCTCCTGACTTCTGGGTACCTTCCGAGTATCCCTTGACTGAGGGGTGATGTATGCCTGTTCCCCTTGCTAGGCCCTGGTGATCCCCAAGGACTGTACTCCAATGCCTGGCCTGCTTGCTTGCCCACCGGGCTCGTCAGGCCAGGGCTTCTTTCTCTGTTTGACCTGGTTGTCCTGCCTGGCTGCAGGCTCTCTGGCCCTCTTAAGTGACTGTCACTGTTGGGCAACTCTGTAGAACCTCCCAGGTCTGTCCTAGACCTGTCAAGAGGTTGTCTTTCCCCGTGTTCCTGTTCTGTACCCGGGCTTGCTGGGGTTTCAGTACTATCCCAAAACTCAGTTGTCCCCTGGGTGATGCTGGAGGTGTTCTAGTCGGGATTCGGTTCCTCGACCACCTCCCTGTGTGCTTGCCCCCTTCTAGGGACAGGGGCAGTGTTGGGCCAACTAGACGGAATGTGTGCCAGCTCTCTTGCAGGGTGTGGGTTGTTTGGATGCTCCCAGGTATCCTCCCTGACTGGAGTACTGAATGATTCGGATGAGTAGTGATTATGCTCCTGGGGTGACTCCCTGGCTGGAGTAGGCACTGGTGCCTGAGTTCTAGTTGGGCTCCATGAATTCCTGTGTGGAGCACTCGCGGAATCTCGGAATGAGCTGTCTGTAGTTCCCTCGTTAATGATAGGCGGCAGCCCGCACTCTTCCCTTTGCCCAAAGGGGTCCCCCTCCCCCCTGGAAAAGAACCAGGAGTCTCAGTGGGAAGGTCCCGTCTAGCGCGGAGCTGGTCAATATGTTGTCGCAGGACACGACCATCGTCCAGGGAAACCTCGTAGGACAAAGGACCTGTGACCCTGGACACAGTGGCAGGGACCCATGAATGACCAGGCCCGTAGTTACGAGTCCAAACCGGGGCACCCACAAGCAGTTGTCTAGGTGCCCTGGGGTGTGTGATTGTGGAAGGTAGTCTGTCCGGGTGCAACCAGTC